ATTTCTCGACGGAGGGCCTTGAGTTCCTCCGCCGTGGCGGTCTCCTCTTGCTTACGCAGGGTGGCAGCCTCCTTGGCGCTGGCAGCTATGTCCGGCTGCCAGGCCTTGGTGAGCACGCCTTCCAGGGCGGTTAGGCGATCGCGCTCTCGCGCGGCTTGTACCTCGGCTTGGGCCGCGATTGTTTCCTCAATAAAAGTCTTGAGGTTTTCTCGCAGCGCCGACGGTTGCGCTGCGAGCTTCTCCGCTACAGTATTGAGCGTGAATCTTTCGGCTTCTCGGAGAGTCTCGCGACAACTCCGAGTGATCCACGCCGCAACTGGCGGAGGCACGTCTCGAGGACGGGTCTCACGGGACGAAGCGGACCCGGATACCATAGCCTTGAGCTTGTCGAAACCTGTTGAAACAGAAATAGGACACCTAGGACCAAAAACGGTAAGGGATAAGGGACACTCCGTAGACTTCTAGGTCGGGAGACCAAAATGTCGTGCACTGAGGGGGAAGGGTGGGATCCCCCTCTGGCAGAGCGCGCGTGTTCGGGGGGCGCGTGTAGGGGATTATCGGGAGACCACCCGTAAGGGACCGGTACGGGGCCGAGCGCGAAGCGCAGTAGGGAAAGTAAGGGAAAAAGTGGGAAAACAGGGGCCCAGGAGGGGCGGAGCGGTAGGGACAGCTGTCGCGCGGAGAGCCGGGCATGGCGGGACAACGCGCGCGGTAGAGGCAGGAGGGAATCGGGACGTAGATGGCTCGCAGGGTACCGTCGTGGGACGGGGACCGACGCGAGGCTACGACTCCGTTCCAGAAACCCGCGTTGTAGACCCAAAGCTTCGTACGGTTTTACTCAGGGTCGGACGTCGGCTATATACTAGCCGACGTCGGAGCTATAATTAATTAAACTAAAAAATACTAAATTGAACGACGGCGGCGATGGCCGGAGAAACTCTTCTTGGGGAGGTATGACAACCGTTACAGGTAGGGAATGGCACCTGGACACAGCGGCCTTGATGCCCGGTTACACGTGGCGTGAGGTACACGTGGGCACCGGAGGGGGGGCAGGCCGCGCTGGCCGGGGACAGGTGTCCCGAATGAGAAGATGAGGGGTGTCAATGCACCACATTTCCGGCATGCTTCAGAGTTGTGAGCATCATAAAGAAGGTATCTTTTGGCGTCACTCCACATCTACGTCCCCTTCCAGTATTCCAGGTTGCGACGATGTCTTCCCTAAGTATTTCCCAGACGGCATTGAACTCCTGGAGAGAAACATTTGTCATCTGCAAAACTGCACCAGTTACCCCTGATTCAAGAAAGGTATCCATTGGAGGACAATCGGATATGTCATCGTCTGATTCCGATTCAGTTGCTTGTGAGTCGGGGGCGAAATCATCAAGCTGGTCTAGTCGGGCAGCGTGGTTGGATGTCAAAAGCTGCAGCACTTTACCTGCTTGACCGGTCGAAAGAGGAGGGATTTCCATAATGACAACGACAGGGAGACTGATTGAGAAGTGGGCGATACCCAGGGCGGGAACAGAGTGGTAATTAGTTGGTAGACAGAGACGAGGAAGGGGTTCAGGCTCCTTTGTGCGTTCTGCAGCACATGTTTTGGCGCTCATCAGTGGTACTAGTTGCCAGGCGTTTGCATTTGTCGATTTGACGGCATTTATTAGCGCGAAGGCAGTGTTTGCGCAAACACTGTGTCTTTTATTGAAATCTTTATTTATATCCATGAAAAAGTTAATATTTTGAGATTACTTAATGGGTTTTCTGATCATGCTGTAGTTGTGCTAAAGATACTGCTTTCTAGTGTCTATTTGACATTTTTTTCCTCATTTGAGGATCGCAAATCCTCAAATGAGGATGAACTCGAAAGAGTTCCCAGCTTCTCTTAAACGCAGATTCAGTCCACTTAAAGACTATCAATGTCGCTCGCACTCCACCCTAAAGAAGGAATACACAACTTGAACTCCCGGAATACATTTTACCTGCATCAAAAAAGCATTTACCTTCATGGATCTGTACTCATCTGTGGAAAATTCCCTGTATCGTACGAACGCTGCCCCCGTAAACTTAATCATCCAAACAACTTCATTACAATCGCCCACTCTCATAAATGCTCAAAACTGTTCTTTACGTACAAAATACCGTTGCTGAGCTCAACTTCGCCGGGCTGGGGATATTAATCTAGTCGTGAACCACGTCTAAGTGAGCCTCGAAACAACTACGCTGCGTTTGGGAATGACATAAAAATATCTCACCTCCCCCGTTGTCCAAGCACTTAGAACAGATCCATTTCGTCTTCTTAGGACATAATTTGCACTTGTTCTGCATACGAGCGCCCCGTACGCGTCCTGTTCTGGTGCGTCGCAGTCGCTTAGTAGTTGTCAAATGAACGTCAGTTCCACTACGAGGCTGTCCCAATACGACACTTGCATCTGGACTGTCAGGTCCAGACGAAGATCTGGATGCCCGCCGTCGTACACCTGTTTCATCCCACGAGTTGTTGATCAAGTCCGTGGCCAATTGACACCAGAAGCTGTGGGGTGCCATCATCGGGCGACCTCGCCGTCCAAACTTATATAAATACCATGCATCAGTACAAACCATTCCTAACACAGTACTATTCATACGGAAGCTCCATTCCTTCACTTCGATGCTCTTCTCGAAATCTAAACTGTCTTGTCGCCCACGATTGTGCCGGTCGATAATGCCAGCAACGTCGAAGTACTCGAAGACAGGTCGAGGCATCTCAATATTGATTACGGTAGGACAAGCGCCATCTCCAAATTGGCGCCATCGCGTGCGGGTCTGCGAAAAATATTCCTGCATATTCCCGCATGTTGTGACGAATGTCCTTCGATTGCGGTCAAGCCACGAAATTGCCGCGATTTTTTTGCTCTGCTCATTGACCGTTACGTTCGTGATAAGAGATATAGAATCTCCCTTATCATACATTGGCAGGCGATTTAAGTAACTAATCGGAAAGCGAGAGGTGGCGGTTTTCACCACACCAGTAAACCGGAGATTCATCCCCAGCAGTGCTTCAGCGGCAGCCACGGATGCAAAGTGGCTATCTGCACAAATGATTCGCACTCTGCCGTTCCACGGTGCAGCCAGCTCCACTAATACATTTGTGCCGTTATTATGTTCGTCCGAGGATGTTCGTGCTGTTTCGGCTGCTGTTTTCACGATTTTCAAACCAAGCAAGATACCCGAACTACCGCAAGCGATATTTTGAATCTCCATCCCACTTTCTGGTTTCCGGTCAAGCACAACATAGTGTGGGGATCCAATGCTTATCCAGCTGCCGCCTAAACCGTACCAACGTGACATCGACTCATCAACGCATAGACGTTCCGATGGGAATACATTCGCCTGCCTGTGCGCATTAAATGCAACTATAAGATCATCACACAGTTGCCATTGGTGCCGTTCTTTGGCATTCGGACCCACCGGTGCTGTTGCGTTCTGCTTGCTAAATCGAATACAGCTTCGTAACAATTCGAATCTTGAGCGCGCCATAGCCTTTCCAAAATTGTATGACGGTAAATATTCACTCCCAGAGTCTCGCCGCCATAAATCACGTCTATTACCGAACTGTACTCTCGTCATGAGAACTAGCACTCCAAAGACTCGCAGAATTTCTCCAGTTGTAGTTGGTAAACTGCTGCGATTCAGCAAATTATCATTTGTGAGTTCGACAATACGCGCTAAATGGGTCACTGGCATCATAGCCATGAAGCAGTCCATAGCATTAAACATATGCGGTGTGGCGCCTTCTTGAATAAATGTGCCGTCTAGACTCTGTATCTTACAGGCCAATCCTGTGACGGGTCCATTGAGCGTGCTACTATTTGATGAAAGCTTCCAGACCTGGTTGTGAGCAATTATGTTATCTTCTGGCGTATTTCGGGGCTGTGGGAGTATCACTGTGGCACGTATGTCACACGAGGGACCTTCTGTCCCACTACGCATGTGGGCTTGTCGGGTAATGATATCATTTCCATGACTTGTTCCAATGTTGGAAAGTGGACTGGGTTCTGTAGGCAACGTTGAAATTGCATCAGATGAGGTGGTCGGATTTTCCTCTTCAAGGAGACAGTTAACCACATATAGGGGATCGTCCTCGGGACAGGCTGGCTGTCTGGACAGATCTTGTAGAGTTCCTAACTTTACAGGACTCAGAGGAAGTGTTGCAATCTTTGCTTCTGTACTGACAACAAATGCGCACCTGAGATAGCGGCATGTTCGGTTCTTGATAAGTTTTGAGTGGACATCCAAGACCCTACCATCCAAATGGGTGTCAGTGTACTGTGTACCAAAGACGTTCTTTGCCGTCCTTTTGCCCAGAACTCGGGATGCCAGGGCATAGATTAATGTACCCCGAGAGAGGCACAGATCGGTAGGCATAGTTAGGGTGTTAGTTTAAGGCGGACGACGGATGCAAACTCGCGAGTAACTTCATCATCGAAATGCGTGTGCCAAAACTTTTTAGGGGCGTTTATAGAGGACACGAATGGGCAACTTTTTGTGGGAAATGGGCTCTTGGGGCGTTGCGGTTCCTATGCGCTATCCCGCCAAAACACTGCCTCATGTGAGGATTTGATCCTCATATGAGGCAGGATGTCAAATAGACACTAGGTATCAATAATGTTCTATGCAAGAACTGTGTCATTGCATGATCATAGGCTCGATTGATACACAGGTAAGGCCATGTCATAAGAAGGTTCATCTTTGTGCTGCAAATTCATGGTTCCGCTAAAGGTCTAGTGGTCGTGTGACACTTGCTCTGTCCTCTGTGCCCTTTCGCTCATACACGTTTTCCACATATCACATGCTCTGCGACCGTTCGCTCATACACGTTTGCCACTTATGACAACTGTACTGTATCTGAAATGATGCAATCATTTTGCAAAAAATCGTCGGTCTTGGAAGCAACCGATAGCATTTGCCCAGGTGATCTAATGGAACATTTGATACCGAAGTACGTTCAATATCTGTGGGTGCTCTTTAGTTTTTTCGCGCACTGTAGAATACTTTATCTCTACTGCACATCGAAATATACATTTTATACAAGTTATCTCTAAGAACGAAAGGGACAGAAGCGCCCTCTCTTAAGACGATGTCCATTCTTGTCTATCTCAAAACCCGCCAGTTATGCTCTTACCGTTCGAACCAAATGAAACAATAGCAATATCTTCGTCCTTCTTGAACACACACGCAACTCATATCACGTGCCATCTTCACAGGCAACTACCTAAAAACGTCCATGTCCCCACCTCAGCCCTTCACACTTGCTTTACTCCCTTCTTCCCCTTAGCCGATTCTACATTTAACAAAGCCCACAGCAAACCGGAAACAACATACTCTGCTGTCGTGGAGCACAATACGTCCATCTTAGCACTAGTGCACTCCGGAATGCCCAGCGTGAAAATCGTATACGTTCTTCCAAGCGCGGCCAACAGCAGATGTGCGCTGATCACTCGCACCACCGGTCGATACCGCGACACATCTGAGATGATGAGAATCGCAAGTGACGCGTAGGCTAGGTACATCGACGCTAGGAAACGATATTCGGAGTTGAGTAGCGGGTCCTTGAGGATGGATTCAGACATGGAGCACTTGTCATAGCTTAGGTGGTCGGTCGAGAAGAGAATCTGAGGGATGCCGGTCGACAGCGCCACCAGTATGAGGGGGATAAAGGCTAGTCGCACCCCGGGGAATTTCGAGTTGTCCGACCGGTAGATAGTTGATGTTTTGCATGATGATGGGCAAGAGGAAAACGTCATGGTAGGGATGAAGGTATTCTCTTGGTTGAAGAGGGAACTAGAGTGAGAGAGTTTCAAGCCGGAGATGCTTGAGTTGTGCTTCTGCGCTAGTGTGAGTTGCTTTCAGTAAGTCTTTGTTGGGGGGGTTGCTCTGATATTTATACTGCACAAGAGAGAACCTAGAAGGACCTTGTGCCGAGGAGTAGACGTGGGATTCGGCGACCGACAGCGACCATCTCGGTGATCGGAAGTTTCAAATATCTCATAACAAATCCTATCATCATATGGAAAGAAATTGTCACCTGGAAGCCACGACGACCATAGAGGAATTGGTGTGCTTCCATCATACATCCAGCAATAACAAGCGCTATAAGCTTTCGAAGAAGGACAGGTTTCACAGAGATGGGACCTGTGATATTCCTCTTAGTAGAACACACACTTATCCCCCCGCTGCGATGTGTGATGTACTCATCATGATGGCAATGAGATATACTCTGGATGGAGTTCGGAAGAGGTTTCATTGGAAGGGAGCCCGCGCGGCATCTCTTCTGTGCTCCAGATACAAGATATGACTACGCTGTTGAGATGCACAGCAATCATTGGTTACAATACAGTGGTGGTGGCTTCGTCGAAATGTCGACGAGTGCACCAGTCTTTTGCGAGAAGTCGTTCCATTGCAGGGCAAGCCTGTATGAAATGACTCTGTGAGCAATTAAGAAAATATATCGTTTTTATGCGGTTTCAACGGAATGCTTTGCGCTGTTTTTGTTGCATTGCGAGAGGGTGTAGTCTTACTCTAGTATCTCGTGTTTCTGGTTGAATTGTTCAGATTTAATAGGTCGAACTTTTTTTGCAAAAGAAGACTGATTGCCATCACAACGGACTACGTCTCGAGGACAATGGACAACCAGGCACGGAGATATGGAGAAAATTGAATGCTGTGTTCATGATTCATGAATTACTAATCTGCACAGCGATCGAGCATCAGAAGAATGGCGACCCCTAACTAAAGAGGCGATCTTAGGATTGACAACATTTCTCATTAATGCTTCTCACTCGGGTTTCACGTGTAATCGCGCAATGCACTCTGCGCAGAAACGGAGTATGGTGCAATTCAAGGAAGCTGTCTTTTGATGCTGAAGTCTAACCAGCTACCTTTTAGTGTCTCTCTGCTCGGAACATGAGGACGCGATTCAAATAAAATGAGAAGAATGTTTTGTTCTCTGACGTCAATGACGCGAGTGCTATACTGTAGGAAGTCATCAAAACGTTGCGTGCATCGAAGGTCTTCTCACCGCATGCAATTGTCCTGTGCAATTTCTACATAATTCGAAAGGGTTGCACTTTAGAAGTGCCCCCAGAGAAAGATACTATTCGTATTATTCGCCTGGTTCATGCTTGCGAGACAAGGCTGGTTATGGAGGGCGAAGAACATATTCACGTATTTCCTTATGTTCGGCGATTGCTCTGTGATTTGCTGCGCACAGTACATCACGGTATCCTTGCAGAAGAACATGGACTCTTCATTGTCTGCGCGCAGAGTCCGTTTCAATTCACCTATACAATATTTCTTTACAACATCTACAGCAACAGTTGGCATAGTGCCCAGAGCCCACTGATAGCGAGCGTGCGATCTTTGAGTGTGAATCACAGTACTGCGCGCTCCCTTTTCGACGATGACGCTGTGATCATGGGACAAGCGAGTGATTTTGGACTCGTCAGCTCTGATTGAAATCAGTCGCAATAAAAAATTTCGTGCCCCTTCAAGTAAATGATTGCCAGCTCGATTGACGACCTATCAATGTTAAATTGAGGGCAAGCCGTAACATTCTCATGTTCAAACCGTAGAGTCCTTCTCATCTGACAGTGTTCAATCATAGGTTTGTACAGTACGAAGAAAAAAACTGCTCACTACTCTCATTTCTGCAAATGGTTCGGCGGCAAAGTGATATGCCCGGTGATGTGCGCTTCTCTCTGTATTGCGGGGCAGCTTCTGCCTCAAGGTTGTCATGGCGACAAGAAACATATTTTCGTGGAGCTATCACCATGACTAGGACCTTCTGTCTGACTGACCTTCGGCCAGACTGTAGCTGGTCGTGGAGGCAAATGGCAAGCGGGCTCTTGCCTCATGCCAACCGATAACTTTGGTTGGAGCAACTGTGACTTCTTTGAAATTCGTGCAGAATTCTTGCATGGCTGCGAAGAGGACGACGCTACGCACTCCAAGTCTTATCCCCTGAATACTCTGCTTTGTGTAGCTATCACCACTTGATGCTGTCAGGTAGCCTGACGGCATCAAGTGGTGATATCAGACGTCGGTAATCTTGAGCCGGCAAGAATATTCATCAGCTGCAGATGATCGCCTAGTCTAGGATGCGCATACCCTGTCATAAAGAGTGTAGCTAAGGGCATTCCAGAGTTAGAGCTGTGCCATTCAATCCACCGCAAGAGCCCCGATTTCGACTACAGCTACGCATATTCTCCGCATGGAATGCCGCGCCCTTTTCGCAGAAATGGAAGTGCAAGTCTCATTCTGGCGAGCATCTACACAGTGCGGCGCTGTCTCCGGTATGCATCCGCAGAACTTTCCGTGGACACAGTGCTTTGCACACTTGGACAAGACGAAAAAATTACACATGTCTCTCCGTGCACCAAATTGCAAAAAGGGATATCATGTTGCCCATGACGAGTATCAGTACGCAATTACAATTCATGAGACAAGGTATCCTTCTTGACGGCATACACGGGATCAAAATCATTCGAAATGGCCATTCGATACAGCACAACAAAGCGCAAGCCATCACCGTTCTCTACTGAGAAGAGGGCAACCCAGCTCATATCACAAAGACATCTCTGTTTCTGTTGCCCACGTTGCCCACGTTATGGTTTCTCTCTTCTTCTCTGTATAATTTCGCGCCTTTGCTGCACCCTGTCTATGACACAATATCCCGAAACCTGAGCAAAGGCTGTTCCCCTTCCCTCCTCCTCCTATCGTCCTCCTCTAGGGCCCTAACAATGCCATCAACATGCGCCCTACCCACCACGCCCACCACACACTTTTTCCCACTCACCGCGCGACTCCTCTTCAGCACCCAGGCCATGTACAAATCCCTCTCCTCCACGAGAGTCCTCCTGAGTCCCGGAAACCTCTCGCCCAACAACCTGACGTACTTGTCCACGACGCCATCCGCATCCAACCCACTCTCTATGGTCTCCTTGAGCTTCTCATCGGCTACATGCCCGACGGTGTTCCCCGCCAGCGCCGCGCGCGCCAGCGCCGCCGCCAGCACGAAGCGGTCACGCAAGTTGAGCGAGTCCCACGCGCGCGACAGTGTGTGCTGCAGCGGGCGGTCGCCCAGGACGAGGGTGGCGCGGACTTGCTCCGCAGCCTTTGCGGCGGCGCGGAACTCAGCGCCGGCGGCGATGGCGTCGTCGTCGGCGGAGGCCAGCAGCGTGCCCAGTAGACGGCGGCGCAGGGTCAGGCGGGCCCATGGCGGAAGCGTGTCGGTGGCGGGCGGGTCGTTGAGCAGCGGGGCGCGAAAGCGGCACAGCTCGAGGACCACGGCGTCCGGGTGGAGACGTTGGATCGCGGCGGTGGCGTAGGCGGGGGAGAGGTTGGATGGAGACGGGTGGTGGGAGACGGCGACGAGGGCGATGAGCTCGGGCTCGAGCTGGGAGCGGGCGGAGGGCGGTGGGGGCTTGTAGTCCGTGGAGCGCGGGCGTAGGGTTAGGACGCCAAGCGAGGTAAGGTCGGAGAGCGTGGGAAGCGTGCAGAGAGGGGGGGAAGCGGGGGCAGCGCGGGCGTGGGCGCGGCGGAGGGAGGGGAGAGGAGGGGAGAGGAAGGAAGGGTGTGGCATTGTGATGAAGGTGATGGGGAGGGGGAAGGCGTAGCGAGAGAGGATATTGCGAGGGATTAGGGGATTCCGGGGGCGGCCTGCCTCCTTTGGAGAATGCCTTTGGAGCTCTTGAAAGGTTTCTATTTGGTTGTACTGTAATTGGACGGAATCAGATTGCGTCATTGGACGGAAACACACCACTTGGCACTAGTCAATTAGTTGTTGCAAACAACAACTGTCATTGCTGTGATAATAGATCCAGAGGTCTTCCGCTGCCCAGAGGTATTCCGATGCCCTGCCCGTCCCGCCCAATGCCAATACTGTACCTTGTACACGCGGGCAACGCCATCTGCCGCCGCGCCGCTCTCCATCCCTCTCACTCCCGGCACGCGAGCCGTTGCACGGTCTCCTCCGAGACGACGGCGGTAGCCTCGAGCTCGACGAGAGCGTCGTCGAGCGCGAGGCGCGGCACGGTGACGAGCGTGGAGGGCGGCTTGCGGAGGTTGATGCCCGTCTGCGTGTACTGCATGGCGGCGGGGTGCCACTCGGCGTCGACGATGTAGATGTTGAGGCGGAGGATGTCGTCGACGGTGGCACCGACGGCGTCCAGCGCGAGGCGCACGTTGCGCTCCGCCACGCCGAGCTGCTCGGCGAGCGTCGCCCCGACTATGTCGCCGGCAAGGTCGACGGCGATCTGCCCCGCGATGTGCGCCGTGTGCGTCCGCGTGTCCACCGTGATCTGCGAGTACCCCAGCGGCGCGGAGTCGATCAGCGTCGACGGGTTGAAGCTTAGCAGACGCGCGGGGCGTTGCGAGGCGCAGCGCGGGGACGGCTCGCCGCTCGCAAAGGTCGGCGAGAGAAGGGCGAGGAGGAGGAGCGAGAGGGTTAGCGGGGAGGGATGCATGGTGGAGATCTCGTGATGAGAGTGTGGGAGGGGGAAGAGATGGGGGAGAGATGGGGAAGAGATGCGGGGGTGGGAGTGCCCCCTGCCCCCCCTCTACTCCGGTTCTCCCTCGTGTTCT